CACGACGCTTTTCTGCTCGTACAACTTAAACAGTTGCCCAATATTAATTTGGCAGGCAACACGTGTCGTAGTCGCGAGACGACCTTACAATCCGTCGGAATATACGAGAATTTCGATCGCGACGCGACGCGACAATGATGAAGACGTGTAACTGTCTATGTATAGATATGTACATATATACATAAGGTATATAATTACATTCCTATCTGAACAAAGGTCAACATTAATTTTTCAATATCTGTTTTACTCTGATTCTTTTGAGATCTGCATCATCTACTACAAATAGTCGATCGTGGTAGATTCAGTGTTAACCCTTTGCATTCGGCGATTTTTACGTTACAGAAAAATAGTAATTCGTAGACTTTGAGCCATGAAGTCAACGATATTTTTAAAACAGTAAATAAGAAATCGTTTGCAAATTAAGACGTAGAATTATTTTACTTCAACATTCCACTTGTCGTTGGATAATTTTAAATTTGTTATATTAATTAACATCCATCTTTAAAGTTAGATTAAATGCCAATTGAGAGTCGCCTCTCGAGTGCAAAGGGTTAATATCAAAGGATGATCCAACGAAACATTAGCACTAAATAATACATAAATAATACACGCGTTTAAATATTTTTGTCGCTATCGTAATAAATGTCTATCTTTTTCCTTTAAAGCTATATTTCAAAAATCTTCCAATATTTAACAGAATTATTCCTAATTTTACCCACGTACTTTCAACACTTATATTTTGCTATCGATACATTACTATTGTATATCGTCAATAGGTCGTCCGCAATTGGCGACGGTTAGTGACGAACCAAATCTCTTGAGGAACTTGTGTTTATAGTGGACTGTATATTTTGTAATAATTCCGGTTAACTCTTCTGAACTCTTCGAATGTTATTTGCTGACTGACTGGTACTGACCTAACTAACTTGTGCGATGCACGATCTTTCGGAGCCCATGGTTTCCAAAGGGAAATCGGTTTTCCCATTGGTGGTTGACAGGACCGAGAGTGGGCCCTCGGTCCGCGAATCAGATGCCCCCAAAGAAGGGAGGACCGTCTTCCGCGACCAGGTCTGCCGGTGGAGGAAGCCTCTCCCTCAAAGGGGGTTGCTGGTGGGCCACCCGCACATTCGTGATCCTTCCTGAAGGACCCGTTACTTTATGGCTCCGAAAGTCGCGACATCGCACATGGCCTGGTCCCTTTCTTTGCAGGCCTATTGTCAGCCAAATCCTAAGTGCTGTTGCCTGCTTTCTAACATTAATGGCTAAGGAAAGCCTCGTGTCCGGTGACCCGAGGGAAATAAAGAATTGTTTGAAAATGCATTGAAAATGAAGATAGAAAGGACACGGAACTTGAACTAAAACAGTAATTAGAATCTGGCTGCCAGAAGACCCTAACGGTATTCTGGGTCTATTATAATCAAGGGCTGAACAAAATACCGGCACGACATTCCAAGGCTTAACAACTATTTTGAAAAATTCGACTCTAATTTGCGTAATTTATTTATTGAATTTTCGAAACTTAAAATTTCAAATACTTTTATGAACAACTCTATGTAAGAGCTAAGAATATTTTCTAAATCATCACTGGAAAAGCTCATTCCTATTTATTGTTTACTCCTGGATACACAACGATAATGTCAACGATTCTTCGTCATAATTTGGAAGAGAATTCCCGTTTAAAGACGAGGCAATACCCTTTTTTGAACAGATTAATGTTCGAACTTTGGATTTGTTCGAAATAGAGCACGATCATGATGTTATCGTAAAAATAGGCAGAAGGAGTTTGCATTGTCGTATTGGATAGTTCTCGAGTCCCAAATTTCATCATATATAGTTATACAAAGTAGCGTAACGCATGTCGCGATCCGTTTATTTCGAACTTAATGAAACTATAATTGCATACTCTCATTCACCTCAATAATTTGGACATATACATTTAGAGTTGACCTAGGTATAATTACTTACACGACGTCGAACAGAAAGTAATTTGCTTCGTGTATCGAATATTTAATGAACTTACTGGTGATTTATATTTTAATATCAACAAATAAATACCATATTCTTTATGTGCTATGGTGTATTATAATAATATCGTATCTTCTTTGTATTACTTTTGGACATTGCAAGTTCTGAGGTTTTCTCTTAACTGTGTTTACTGTTGGAACCCGGGTTTCAATATACAACACGGGTTCTAGCAACAAGGCTACGTTGGAAAAATACAAGTCGGCGGAGAGGAAAAAAACAAAACAGAAATTGAAACTGGAACTGACTGAACTGAAAACTGTACTGAAACTGTGCTGAAACTGAACTCAAACTGAGCTTTCGCAAATTTTGTGAGCGCTTATATAATGTTAGTTTTTGGGAGGGTGAAGATGACCATTGGCCATTAGTGCAGGAATGAGTCAATTGTTTTTGGACTCTGAAATTGGTCTGCGTTTATCAGCCAAGTCCTTCTAGTGACTAAGGGCCAATGAATCGTTAGTCATCCAACATTACTTTTTACTGATAATATGTGCAAAGGTAATGAATTTCTATAATTGTATAAAGTAAAATATATAAATGCGGTGAATTAAGAAAATGAAATTATGTATTGCAAGAAACGAATAATGAAAATACTATAACATGCAATACTTGTATAATACTGTACAATTGTATAGTACTGTGCCACAGCATAAAATACTATAAATAAGATATTAAATTTCCACTAATTCATTTACCTGAATTATACATTTATTATATTTACTATACGTGAATTATATATCGATACGAGTACATAAGAATATATTTGTGAAGAATTTTTAGAAAAGTTGTCCCTCGACAGCAGTTGTAGTACTATGTAACAATATCGAAATATGTGCAAACACGTTTATTTGTTATTATTTAAACTCCAATTAGTATACTAATAATTCTTTCTTTTTTTTCTTTTTCTACATATATGCAATTTTTATATGTCGCGTAATGTTGCAGAAAAATGAAATTTAGACTAGTATTGTATAATCTAATGGCTCTACTTTTAAACAATATGTTAACGTTATTTATTTCTTCGTAATTCAGATTGAAATTTATGCTAAAATATTTATATATGTGTTTATGTCTATAAGAATGACTATCATGTTTAACCATTTATCCGCAGCCAATGTATATATTTCCAATATTTCTAATAAGATGTGTATTTATGCAAAAAGTCTTCACTTATATATAATATATGCAATATTCAAAATATTAGAATTAAAGCTGTACTTTTAGAATAGTTGAATTACAAAATAAATCTTTGTCTAGTTTTCACAACTTTATCTTCTATAAAAGTATGTACTTGCAAAAACAATTATCATACAAAATTATTATACTAACCGGTTTCCTTAATTTTAAATTTAATTTTGTTCAAAAAATGATCGATCAACTCGTGAAAACCCTTTTTTCCAACAATACTCGATAAATCTGCGAAAGGTCATTAATTTGGACAATACCTATCGAATATAATTGTAAACAAACGAATATGCATCTTTTTATACTCATTGAAAATAAAGTAAGGAAGAAAATAAAAAATAAAATTGGTAATTACAAAAATAACGTGAATATAATCGAGAAAATAAAATTACGAAAATTAATTAAATGAAATTAATTAAATTATATAAATACATGGCATAATATATGGTGAAGTAAGAGTATCTCTTCTTTAATTTTCAGGACCAAAAAGGTGCGCAACTATATCTTGGTATTAATCATTGTGGAATTCTAACGTTTCAAGGATCTCGTAAGACACACCATTTCCGCTGGCCGGAGGTTCAAAAAATCAACTACGAAGGCAAAATGTTTATTGTACATTTAACGATAAGTGAGGTAAAATTTTAAACAATTTTTCTTTCGTAATTATTTTCTTTCTGACATTATCATCCAATATTGCAAGTATATAACATATTGTTAGGATTAAACTTTTCAATCAAATCGAATCGAATATTTTAACAGAAACCATTTATGTAATAGTTTCTACGGTAAATTATTCGAACAATAATTTGAAGAAAAAGTACAGCATCGCAATAACACGATACATAATAACGGTGCATACATTATTATATGTAAATATTGCGACAAAAATATGCATCATGGATATATACGGTTCATTTATGTGTATTACAGTGTTTTGATCTTTAAATGTTTCATCAAGTCGATCAAATGTGTGTGTACACACAATATTGTAAACAACAGGTAGAATAAAATAAAATTCTCTGCAGAATTTACAAATATATATGAACTCTTACGAGAAACAATCTAGCAAACACAAAACTTCACCTTTGCATTATTGAAATAATGTGTACATATGTTTACGCATTACTCTATAAATATTGTAGCTTTTACTAATCCACAAATCAACGTTGATAATCTTTTACAATTAAATAATAAATACTGCTTCTGACTTTATTTCTTAATAATTAATATTATTTAATACTATATTACCTGTATGATATCAATATGATTAATATATTAATAATAATAATTAATATATTTAATCTTGTATTATTTTAACCAAGCTTATATTTACCGTAAAAAAATTTATTTCATTCTGTTTCATATTATAATTGTGTTAATTTTTATATTAATTTTATATTTAATCAGTTTAACTTGGTGTTATCCAAGCAAGAATTTGCAAGTCCTTTAGACCTTTATCATTCCCACTCGCGTCGTTAAGGAGATGACGTGATGTTAAAGTGGCGTCCATATTACAACATCACAACCATCTATTATGATGGAAGTTTCTTCAGTGTTACACAGTTTCCTTGTAACGGAAATATGCTGCCCGAATAAATCATTTGAAAGGAGAAGTAAACGCTGGGAAGACTTCTCTGTTGAACAGCATTGTTTAACTTCTTGATTGTTTCCAACCCATTCTTCGAGCAATTACTTTTCTCACAAGTTTGATAAATTGTAATTCAAAATTCCGGCATTTGTCAAATTATCGCAAAGCATATTCTACCAATGAAAAGTAGAAGTTATACACTTATTATAAATTGTAAAACATTATCAATACTAATTTCCTAATCCTAAAACGTAAATATTTTTGCATTTGTGAAAAATAAACTGATTGAATAGGAAATTGCTATTTATTTGATCAAATGAAACCTTTACTAATTGGTCCGATAGTAGAAACATTAAATTTTATATTTATTATAAAAGAAATAATTTATTTTTAAATTACTCAAACAATTTTATTTTTAAAACTATCGTTGGACAATTATTTAACAGAGCAACTAGATTTTACGAACACGTATTTTTAAACGTTTTTCAGTCACCAATAAATTTGAGAAAAAAGTGAGTTATAATGATGTAAAATTTAGATAAAGAAAATAAAATAATAGATTAGATTTATTATTTTTCAATATTATTGTTTGATGAGCAGAGAAATTATAGTTTTGGAGCAGAAAATTTTGATCAAAAAATAGTCAGCACCCTGATATATCTACATTCTTTCACTTGTTTTTTCACATTATACATATCATACACAATTACTGATATCTAACATAAGTTTATTATCTATAGTTTTACCTAAAATTGATCAAATTATACATATTAACACATATATGTACAGTGGCAGACAAAAAAAAGTTCAAAGTTAGCATTTATACATATGAGCACCTAAGACTTTTGTACTGGTTACAGTATAATAAATATAATAGTAAAAGTAATTATACTTATGTAAAATTCATTGCTATTATAAAATACAATTTTTCCTTGTAACATTATGTCCTTTGTACTGCCTAATATTTGCACTGTCTTTTGTTCGCCACTGTATATGTTGGCGTGGTCCTCGTTTTTTCTTTCTTTCAATGTATATATACTTCTTTATTTCATTTCTCAAAATTATTTCCATCCTATTATTTCTTTATCATGAATCTATCGTACGATTACAAATAAAGATACGATACAATGATCGATTAAAAAGTGAATACGATCACGTACGTATTATCTTTACTGAACATAAAAGCGAGACCGGTTGAATTATTTTCATTTTCCTTAACAGCGAACATAGTAAAAGTAACAGATAGAATAATCACTATTCCTTTAACCATTTCTTGTGAATGTGATCGATAAACCAACCTTGACCCAATGACTGCACGTAGTTTATAGGATTACTAACTCCATGAGTCTTCCAATCGTTTAAAGTGTATCGACATGTCCACAAATACGATGTAAAAAGTGGAGCACAGATATCTGGTTTTTTAAGTGTTGCAATCGTATTTAAATCACTGCATATCTGATTCTTGTTACGAATAACAATAAAAAATAAATAAGTGCAAAGACGTATGTTTGTATTTAGATTTAAATTGGCGGTAAAGTATTGAAAAAAGAAAGAATATTATTTTGCAATTAATTCGATGTTTCAAAAATGAAAATATTGAAGTGGAACAACGAAAAGATGTACTATATGAAAAAATATTTAAGAAATTGGTATTATTAGAATAGAAAATATACAATTACGTAAACATTAAAACACAACTCAAAATCAGAGATAAAAATTATAAATTATAAATTATAGTTGGAAAAATGATTTTTAGCATCTACGTTCTATATTAAAACGGAAAACTTATATATGATCAAAACTGTCATTAGAGTCCAATTCAAAACTAAGTCATTTTTTCCATCATAGAACATATTTCCAGTGATAACATCTGTTCCTATAGAATTAAAAACAAAATGAGAAATTTCAGAAAAACGTATTAAAAGTTGTCAGTGATATTAATAATTTTTTTACAAGTTTTTAATAGGAGTATTAAAAAGCACAGCAATAACATTGTTTGTAATACAATTAATCTGTTACTAGATACAAATAAAGCATACGTTTGTAACATTCCTCTATTTCATCAGACACACTTCATCTTTTCCATTCTTTCAATCGCGATGAAAAAGATGTTCATAGACGAAACTTATATACCGAAGCGAATATACGTTATATATAATATATATACATGTATATTGTGCGTTCGATATTGTTACGAGTCGAACTAATCTTATTATTTTCTACTGCTGGGCCTATTCAGGACGTGAGGACGAAGGTGAGTCGTTTCGTAGCAGTTCCACGGATTGTTCGTGTTTTTAAACTTACGTGGGAGTTACATGTTTGATTGATTATCATCGTGCGATGCAATCAAATTGTTACTAGCGATAATTCAGTTACTAGTGTGAAAGTGGAGAAAATTGCGGTGTCGTTATTGCTGGAAGCTACGAACACAGACGTATGATGATTAGCTGTATCAATGAAACGACGTAATTGTTTCAAGTCTTTTAAATCGGTATTAAATCAATAATTACGCTCAATAGATTCTACACTGTCACTTAGGAATCGAAATCGTCTGCATTTGATAATTGTTTCGTTTATTAAAACATTCCCAATAGTATTACTACTCTGTGTGTCAGCTTTGTTATATCTTGTGTGTTTAGAAGCTTTACACATAGAGCAATGAAAAAGTCATTGAAAAAGGCAGCCTCCTTGTGGTAAAAGTATTTGAATCCTATATATGTGACAGGTGTAACGAAACATGAACTAGTATTGATTCAGTATATGTAACAAAGTATTGAATAACGTTTTCCTTTCTTTTTCCTTTTTCCTTTTTTTTTTTTATTTTTTTTTCCATTATTATTATCGTTATTGATACTAATCGGAATGTAATTGGTTATGGAGAAACGTAGTCGTTTTCGTTTATGACCCTACGATATGATATTCGTATAATAGTGTAGTACCTGGTTTGAAATAGTTACTTAAGACGTTTTAGTTGTTTCAGAATATAGTATTCGACAAAGAAATCAGTCATGTTTATTTTTTTCTTTCTCGAGAATTTTGATTCCTTTCTCGCAGTTACGTGATAAAATAACATGTAGATGTAGCTGTCGAAATTAATGTACATAGTGTAGACGTTTTAGTGCAATGTTTCCCAACCATTTTCAGAAAAAGCACACAGTTGGGTTTAAGTGTCCCACGGGATCGAACTGCCGCCACGTATGGAGATGCGCCATCGAGCAAATGTTATTTTTCACGTATGTATGCTGTTATTCAGCTAAGAGCTTTTAATGTTTTGGCGGCTTGATATTTGTTGAACAATCGCGGCTTCATATTTTGCTATACTAAATATACGTATATATTTACTAATTATTTCGTGTTATATCTTGGACCATTGATGAAATATCATAGATCTCAACTGACGAATTATAATTTGATTCGACAATTTTGTACATTGTTCGGAATATGTTGCGTATGCAGTGTCTTCCACATATTGTGAAAAAAGGCACGCTTTGACAGTGATTAATAAAACTATAATTATGAAGTTCCAGAATGATCCAAGATCTTTTTTGAATCATGAATAAATAATGAATTTATTTATGTACGTGTATGTACGTGTATGTATGCACTTATGTACATATATCTGTTCATAACGGACTGATAACTTCAAATTTATGGATTTTTAAATTCATAGATAAGCACAGTACTATAGTGTAAAGGGATATAATAAATATATGAAGTACAAGAAAGTGTGAAATTCTGTTATAAGGAAGGATATAAATATATAAATGTGAATATAATATTTATTCGTTTGTACATATATATAATATTTGTTTATATTGATATTGTAATTGATATTATAATATTTATATTATTAGATTTCAGAATTTTTCCAGAATTTTTTCGAAAATATGTTGTGTAACGGGTACGATCTTTATGAACTTGAATTTTTGTAACTTTTACAAAGATACATTTTGTACGAAATAATAGATCGTCTTGCCATTTATTAATTAAACTTATGCGGATATAACTAATATTTTAATTTGAAAGATCATAATTATACAATAACTATAAATGTTAATAATTGAAAAAAACAATAATTTTACAAATTTGTCCAATATTGGAAATTGTTTTAAAAATATAAAAATAAATTTTTAGAAGCGAAATTGTTACTTCAACACACGTTACAGTTGTGAAATGACTTTTAAATTCCAACGATGGTTGATACGTTGAAATTCCAATCGAATATCTTCGACCACCTACTTTTCAAATTTCTCTTTACAGAACTGTATTTTAAAAATCGATTTAATGATTTCAATATAAGGATGAAAAATTAACCAATGGAAGAAATAAAATAGCAACGATAAAATAGAGTAAAATACGTGAAAGACAAACACTTTAGATGAGTAAAGTACTTAATATATCATAATGGAAGTAATATGCAAGTAACATTTGTAGACCAATAGTTAAAAATATAGTAATACGTTTATACAGTGACTCATGAAGTTATTTAAACATAACACAATAGAAACGTTCATCATAACTATATTTCTAAAGATTAAAACAGATTTGAATATATAGAGCAGTACAAAATATCATTCGTTACTTTAAATTGTAGATAATACTTCCCAAATGAAGGGGGATTTCAATGTACATTTTTGGTTTGTGTTGCACTTTAATATAATCCAAATAATTGTATCTCGTTGTAGTACTAATAAAGTTTGAAAATATTTTACACAATTGATGTGACCTACTCATAGAAATTTTCTATGCCAAATATTCAAGTATTTTTGTGTATCACTGTATATATTATAGATAAACGAAAATGAAAAACAGAAAAGTATTGCTAGCTACCATTTGCAAAGGCACGGTCATGCATTAGATCACGCCGCTGTCGTTTATTGCAATGCGAGTTAATTAAGAGACCTAACCTTATAAATATTAAATTCCAAACTTTTTATAATGAAAAATTTTTAATAGAAATTTCTTGAAAAAATACTACTTTAACAAATAATACTCGTGCATTAATTGCTATTATGTTATAGTGCTACAGTGCTACTGTGTTTTTTTTATCGACATTGTATCGTTCTTCTACCAAATTTCCTAATTCTTGAATTTAGTGAAATTTTTATTTGTGTTATACAAAACGCTTATTTAAAATGTCAAAATGTCTTACGTAATATCTAATATTCGCAAAAATTGTTCAATGTAGATAAATCTAATTTTAATTTTAATACCGTGTTGGGGCCTCAGAACCGAACGTCCCTAGTTAAGCGGAGGACGGTTTATGTCCTTATTGCCAGTTTCACTTGATTCGTGTACACTCGTCATCACATTTCACACCAACCAATCAGTAAACATACAAAACCACCGAGACAGCAGTCACGAGAGAGTTCTCCAAAAAATTCCACGAAAACAGGACAAGCATTAGTCAAGACCCACGACGATCAACTCAGCGCGAGAGACAGTAACACATCAGAGCTCCTTAGTTCAACCCTAACCTTTCGGTACGGAGGAGCTGGCCGCGGTTATACGTTCGTGGTACGAGGAAGGTTTCCACAAGAGTGTTTGCACTGGAAGCCACGAAAACGTGTTTTGCGGTATTCACAGAAATTTCGATTTTTCATTCGGATCGTGACAGTTATCGGTGATGTTTCGTGGATGCCACCAATAGGCGACGGTAGTACCTAGAGAACGTTTCGTAGATGTCGCCAATAGGCGACGGTAATACCCAGAGAACGTCTCATGGCCGCCGCCATTGGGCGGCAGTAGTACCGAAAGGGTTAATTTAGAGTAGGCCGCATCCCAGCAACATTGTCGCATCCGTGTAAACGGGCCTTACAACTCCGCGAAACTCTCACCGTGCGAGTTGCAGCGTTCGTGACGCAACATACCGATATTACAGAATATTATATTTTGTATCGAAGAGGGCGTATTTTCTTGACTACATTTTAGAGAATCGTGTAATTTTGTATTTCCGGAAAAGTGGAATATTGTGTGGGTATATGTAAAGTAGAGATAAAAATATATAACGACGATTAATGTGCTGGTGCATGCCCTGAGCAATAAGGTCATAAAACTAGTGGATCTATGAGTCCTGATTTCGTGAAAATCGGAAAGGTAGTTTTCAATGCTTTAAAATCAATCGCATATCGAATAAAACTTACATTCGTCGATTTCACAAATTTATGAGTTTTTTTTTGGTATTACGTGCTTTATTACAAAGCCTATTGTAGGGGGCGAAAGTAGATACCCCACTTGGGGTTTTCGTAGATACCCCACTCTCAATATTCCGTCTCCAAGGGAGAGGTTTATTAAGTGCGGTAGTGTTGTCTTCTTTTTGTCCTGCTTGATGATGATGACGGTTGTTCCTGTGGTTCTGGCCTGGTGGTATCCCCGTGGTCGTCGTTGCTAATCGATGGGGTAGCAGCTAGAAGGACGACGGGAAAGGAAGGGATGCGTTTCCTCCTGGGCCTGCTAGCGGACTCATCGGTAAGGCTTGCTTCTAGCAGGCCCTGCCTTATACCAGGGTTACTTGGGTGTCACAGGGACTTCTATTTAACCCCTTGACTACTGTGGGCGCATATACGCGCTCAGAAATTTTGCTTTTGTGACACGGAAGGCGTATATAAGCATTCATCACAGTTTGCTTTTGTGACACGGAGGGCGCTTATAAGTGCTCAACACAGTTTGCTTTTCTGACACGGAGGGCGCATCTTTACCCAAAATTTTGCCGTTCTCGGTGGACATTGTAAATGAATTCCTACCCGTGTGGTACGATTGGTGCGTTTCAAAGTCTGCCGTAGTCAAAGGGTTAAGGAAGGTCGAGGCTTTATCCAGGACTTGCGAGAAAGTCCTTGAACCTCCTTCACGTAGGAATCCATTTATTTGCGAGGGTGAGGACTTGGTCGCTACACCTATTTATGGTTTCTGTAGAGTATTAAGTCAACAAAGGATTTGTGAAACTTAAGTGCATTGATACTTTAGAATTCGAATTGGAAAACAGGACATTTCTAGATTTTTGTATGAGATATGTAATATCTCATTATGTAATTTGAATAAACCAACTGAGTATATAACTGTTATGGTATACAGATTCAGAAACCAATAATAAGTGAAATATAGGATTGTTTGGTTGTAAAAATTTTTTCTCGTACGCGATAATCGAGGGTCATATTTGCAATAATATAAAACAACATAAATAATATTTACAAATTTTGGTTTATATAATAATAATTTGGATCGTGTCCAATCATATTTATAGACATTTCTTACTTACAATCAAACAAATATGGTATGGGCTATTCACTTTCAGAAATTACATTTCTTTGATTCATTTACATGAAAAATTATTTTAAAAATATCTCGGTAATTCCGAGATTTCAAGGCCATGTATCAGAATATTTTAGTTGCTTAATCAGCATTCAGTACCCTTACAAATTCCAGGTTTGCCTGTCCTACATTTTATTTTAAAAACTTAACACGACAGCTGTATCTTATTAAAATGACAAAATAGCAATAATCTCGTGGTTACTGCATCTTTCGTCCTCCTTGATAACACATAGCTTTTACTTGAAACATTTTTTCATATAGGAAACAGGTTATGAGCAATATAATGTGGTTATGCTAAATGAAACAGCCTGTATTCTATATCTTGTACAATAAAAAAAGCATTATAATATGTTACTTTAATTATGTATTATCACGGTAATATAATATGTAACATAAAAATAACTGTTTATGTGAAAGTGTCTATATCAAAGACATCATTTTCTTTTTACTTTCTTACATATTTAAATATAGAATGATTTCACTGAGCCAGGCTATGCCCCTGCTCGAAATGAAATTAGAAAAACACCATAAAGGAATATTTTGCACTATTTAACCAATTTTGTTATCGTATAACTCGATGTTTTTTACGAATACATGAATACATTTACATAATGCAATTGTACACTTTTTAAATTGAACCATGCTATTTTATTTGTATATACTCGAAACATTTTATAAATAACGTGTAAAGTAAGATCACTGAAAATTCAATATTTTACGATTTACTATATATTTTTGAAAAAATAATAAGTATTTGTTACTATGTTTTAGATATTTCTTAAGACCTTTCAGCGCTAAATTTAGTTTTTACTTTTGTCAGGTGTATCAGTTTTCCAATAGTTTATCAAATTCAGAATTATTTTTAATATAGTGTTTAAAAATTTTTAGTCATTTCTTCCGTTTTTCTTTTTTTCTCTCTTTTTTT